GGGAGGCTTACAAAAAGGAACAGTCCCAACCTCCAAGTAACCAGGCCAAAAACCTTAGAGGTACATTTGAACACTTCTGTAGAACTTTGCAACAAAAGTATAAAAATGTAAAGGCTAATTCCTGCTTATGTCACCTTGGCTCATATTTGTAGCCACGCTAGCAACATGAATTAAGGAATGGCAAAGTCTTTTGGTACGTCAGTCATTTGGTCTCTTGGCTGGTCAGTCCAGCTCTTTGGACTAGAATGAAACTATTTGGCAATTACTTAAAGGAATTGTATACATTCAAGACCCCAGAAGATATCACCAAACTTTTCATTTGGCGCCACTTGTAGGTCAGAGTTTTGAAATTCCTTTTGATTTTAGATAAACACATTCATGGTTTCCAGATGATGAACCCTAATGACTTTGGTAATTGTTCATCTCTAGCGCCACCATAAAGCTCACATTTGTGCTTTCTTTATTTAACTTTTAGATAGATTCTCATGACTATTGTATAGCATTAATACCCCCTCAGAACGAATTTAAATCAGGTTGGAATTTCAATTTACTTTGATTTACGACCAAATACTTACAAACCAAAGCTAATTGATTAGCCTTAGCTGTGACTGAAAACACACAAAATCTAAGCAAAACATTTTATATTCAGATTGTGTGTAGCACAGTGATGTTTTTCTGGCATTGCTTGAGTTCATCAGTCTCTGAGTTCAAAGTGGGCCCCGCGATCGCATCACAAAGACAGCGAGCCGTCTACGATGTGATCACTATTAATCACAGCTTGTGATCAAGCATGGAGCAACATTTTTTCCATCATGACTGGAATGTCGTAGTAGAAACAAAGGATGCAGGGCCATGCTCAGATTAGCTTCAGATTGCACATCAGAGTGCTGTTACGTTCTTTCAATAACAGGGACGAGCTTTTCACTTAGTGCTTCATTCTTTTGTTCTCCCTGTCATCAGAGGAAAGGGGAAAATATATCACTTTGATGCTGTTTACTGGGTATTTTGCAAAAATAACTTTATGATGAATTTTAGGGGGGAGAAAAAAAAGTGTAGAGGGGGCTTCAAAAGTAGCGTTAACGGGAGACAGATTTTTGACATGCCTCCCGAGCCATCTGCTTTGGGTTAAGGCTCGGAGACAGAGTCGAATATGGAGGAGAGAAGAGGGGAGTAAGACTGGAGAAGATGGCGAGGGCAGCAGGGAATAGGGGGAGTGCAATATTGACAGGCAGCGGTGGAAAGCTATTTACTTGCATTTTGAACCTCTCTGTTTTAAATTATTGTGGCAAGAAATATACATCTTGCCAATACAAGGGTACAATGAGTTGATATTGTTCGTACAGCTAATACAAGCGAATACTTCAGTGGGCTGTTATACAACATTTTACAGTAGAAACAAATATGCTGTGGTTCCCCAGATCTAGGGCTCTTGGAGATGTTTAGTTAAAAATATATATATATTTTGACAATTTCCAAAAAAGACTTGTGACAGCTGTGGTTGGTTCTGAAATCTGTTAGCCTGCCAAAGATCCAACAGAGAGTGTTCTGCTGGAGACGCCACAACACAAAACTAATTAGGATACGTGCTCCAGGCTATCTGTCGGGTGGAAGGGAGGTGGGCTTTGGGATTTCAGAGTTGCAATATCTCCATCACTTAAGACTATTTCCAAATGTCTACAGCATCTTGCCAAATCCCTCAACTGTCCTTATCTCCTGACATTCGCTCATTAAATGCAGCAAGAAAGAGATATGAGAGTAAAGAACAATGTTGATTTTGTTAGTCCAGCTCTGCTTGTTGATGGTTTTCTGAGTCTCCCTGCTTACTCCCCCTCTCCTCTCCAAGCTGTCCGTCTCCATCACCCCCCCTGTGCCATTCTACCAGTCCCCAGTGGGCACAGCCAGCCAGTCTGGCCAGGCCTGCCCCTTGCTGTGCCCCCGCACTGGATAAGCTCCTGGCTGGACCTTGGGTAGAGGCCTTTGTATAGAGCTGTGGGGGTGTTATAGTGTGTGTATGTGTTTGTGTATGTGTTACGTGTTGGTGTGTATGTGTATATAGCATTCACAGCACAAGGGGAGAAGGGGGTCCTATCTGTGCCTAAGGGCTGCCCCCCAACTCACCCTCACCATGCGCCCTATTGAGACCTAAGGGAGCGTGAACAATCACTGCAAAACCAAAGAGCTAAGTCCCCTTGTTATACAAGGCCAATTTTCGGCACCAGCCCCACCTCTCTCCTCCGTGGTGCGTCCTCCCCCCCTCCCAGCACCCCAGCCCCACTCGTCAGAGGTTGACGGGCTTCGTTAAAGCGAGCCGGGGTCCTTTTATGGCGTTATTTAATTAGCCATTCCACAGCAAACTGCCATCCGGCACCACCACTGACCCCCCCACCGATCCTCTTCTCTTCGCTGAACCCACCATCTTCATCATCCCCACCTCACCCCCACTTACTGAACATCATCAACACCGCCCCCCCTCCCCACTGTGCTCACCGGTCCCCTCCTCTCTCCTCTCCTCGTCTTTATCTCCAGTAATTAGCCAGGGGATGGGGGTGTAACCATTGCTAGGTTGCTCGCCAGTATTAGTGCTTGAGACTAAGAGGAAGGGAAGTGTCTCTCCCTGCATGGGGTTTTCTCTCTCAGTCCGGCACCCCAATACCTGTGGAGTAAAACAAAGAAATGGCCGGTTCTACAGTAGCCAGCTCAGCCTTACTGTCCCCGCTGCCCACTGAGCTCTGTCTGCACTGGCACCCTAATCATTAACCAGATTATGACTTTGTGTCTGCTACATGTTGTAGGGGTCAGCGGAAATTTACTCACAGTATGCAAAAGACTGCTGGCAACTATTTTCAAGTGATTCATGCAGATTGGTTAATGAAGTCTCTTTATCCTGCCATACTCAAATTAGATTGATTCAGGTTTACTAGTTCATTTTGGAATAATAGCTCCAGCATTGGCTTTCAGATCTTTGATCACAAAGCTGGTGAGCAATTTCATTTGAGCTGCACCATAACTATGTATGAGTGCACATTCCTTCCCCATGCACTCAAACATGAGTAGCCAAACAGTGAGAGTGTGGGAGCCCCTGTCTGCAGGGCCACACCGTGCTGGATCGACGCCCTCTAGTGACCACTACAAAAGACAAGCACAATGACAAGCCCACATGTAACCCTGGTCCGCCTATCCAAACACAAAATGGGACACATTATTGGGAAACATATAATAAAAGACTGACTTTGATGACATAATAGACACTTTATTTGTTTTTTTTAATGATTTTTTAAATTTTTATTATTGATATTTATTGCTATATTTCCAGCTGGAGGTCAACTTCATTATTGTTTCTTATGCATACAATGTTTGTAACACCAACTTATTAAGGTTAAATACAAATAATTAAATATGTTAAACTTAATTTTCAATAACTTAAACTTGCCAGCGTTATTTTTAAAGCAGCATTATAAGAAGACAAACATAGTTCAAGCTAAAGTAAGTCCAGCATGGCCTAATGACTGCTTAGCATGGGAAAGGTACCGCTTAGTTATCCATGGCCATTTATAGCCTTAATTACGCGCCTATTTTGTGACCCCTAAGTTCAACGGGCCAATTCCTGTGTAGACCCAAATGCTGACGAACAAAGGTGGAATGTGATGCCCCTTTTCCGTAGACAAGCTACTAAACGTTTCCCATCAATTTCATGGGAAAGTTCAAGCCAAGGAAACTCTTTTAAACGCTCGAGCTGAGTATTGACAGCGTATTGAACCTATTAGTGTACATAACAGACAGCCTGCTAATGAAAAGCGCAGGGGAAAATAGTTGCTATAGCACTTAAAAGTTGGTGTTAGATTTCAAAACCTCAGTAATATAATAACACTGTTGATGTTGTGGAATATTACACTTTAATACGGGTTAAAACTGGTGCTTTAGGACCCAGTTGATCCTTGTGATTGTGGCTGATATTTTCCACGTTGTGAGGGGAGGGGGTGGCCAGGAGGAGGAGGGTGGTTGTCAATCATAGTGAAAGTGGCCGGGGTGGGCAGGCCCCTCTGACACTTTGTACCGTCGGAGGGGGATATTTAACTTGGGACTGAGCACCACTCGCTACAGACACACTCACACACAGTGTGCCTAAGCAAAGAAACGCTCCAGCGCCAAGTCTCTCAGACTCCTGAAGTAGGAGCGACTCAGTAGGAGCTTCTGTAGTTATCAAAGGAGGAGAGACGCTCCCTCAGGAATTGACCGCTTGCATCGACCGGGCAAAAAGGCTCCAGGTTTTTTGGACTGTCTCGTTATGCAGCGATTTTGGGATCTGGAGCTTTTCTGAAGGGATTCAGCAATGCCACAGTGAAAGGAACTCTGAACTCACAACGTGTACTGGCTTTCTGCAGTTTGCATTTGATATGCACTGACACGCTGCTTTTTTCAGCGTCTCTTTTTCTGTGGGAATACACCAGACTGTTATGTTAGTAACTGCTCTGCGATTTGGAACATCCTCTGGAAAGATACTTGGCTGTTATTTCATAAATTGAGATTGCATCCCACTGCTGCGCATTTTTCTCCAAGTGTTTGGACATTTTCAGAGAGGTGCACAGATCCACGGCTGGAATACCACAGGGCTGCACACAGCGTTTCCTCAGTGTATGGATTGTGCGCGCTGGGACCTTGTCAAACCTGAGAGCGTCAGGCGACGTTAAGAGAAGCCACGTTTATAAAAGCCGTGCGTAAAAATAACATTGGCCAAGGCAGCCCTCATTGCCGGGTGCGTGACATTTAAAACTCGGTGAAGTACTCTTTTGTGCGACCCTTCTCTCCCGGGACGCTGCGGATCTATTCTGCCTCTTTAGAAAACACTTCATCCCATGCAGCTCTCGCCTCGGCCGCTGTCATCCAGTGCAGACAGTTCGTCGTGGCTTCGAGTCCCCGGGGTAACCATGACAACCGAAAGAAACCCAAAGTGAATCCAAGGGAGCGGGGTGAGGCTGGAGAGAGCGTGAAAAGAGTTTTCCCCATTTAGATTATTTTTTTGTGTTTAGACTAAACACTTCTTTGCAGAGCTTGGCGCTGCACAGTTGCATCAGCGGGCAAAGTTGAAGGAGCCCTAAAAAGAAAACGCTCCATGTCATTCAAACCCGACGTGGTCTATTAAAAGTATCGCCTTGCCGGTGACTGAACTTCTACTATTTATGACGCCCCTGACTTGTCATTGCAGAAAACACAGTGACCGGGAAAAGATTTGACTTTAATCTACGCGAGAAGAACCGGTGTGTAAAACCAGAGGAATAATGGGCCTCTCACACACGCTGCTCGTGTACGTGCTGGTGTGCGTCCACCTTGGAGTTTCACAGCATTTCCTTCGCCTCCGTCCATCGCCCAGTGATCACCTCCCAGTGCCCGACCTCAAAGAGGACCCCGACCCGGAGTATGACCCCCGGGAGCAGGACTTGGTGGAGAGGACTCTGCGGAAAAAGCTCGGCAGTAACTTTGACTCCAACTTCATGTCGATAACCTCGCCCATGGTGAACATCTCCACGACAGACATGCAGGGGAAGCTGCCGGGGTCCATGCCTCCCGAGATTAAAAACATTGACCTCACGAGGACCCCCTATGGAAAGAGGGTTAAAGTGGGCAAGAAAGCCCGTAGGAAATTTCTGCAGTGGCTGTGGACCTATACGCACTGCCCAGTGGTGCACACCTGGAAGGATTTGGGCGTGAGGTTCTGGCCACGTTACATCAAGGAGGGAAACTGTTTCTCTGAGCGCTCGTGCTCCTTCCCCGAGGGGATGTCTTGCAAACCCGTCAGGTCAATCAACAAGATTTTCCTCCGGTGGTATTGTCAAGGGTTTCTAAGACAGAAATACTGTACGTGGATACAGGTGCAATACCCAATCATCTCAGAGTGCAAGTGTTCGTGCTGATTCTCTCTAAGGAAGGAGTGGTGGTCGAGGGGGAGTGGACTGGAAATACGGTTTCTATTGCACTGTTAACTCTCTACAGAGGTGGGCACCATAGCAGATCTATTTTTTTATATAGCATTTTAAGTGAAATACCAACATTGTACATATTTAAGAAAAATGCAGCTATTTTTTCTAATTGAACCAGGACCATATTTTATTCTCAACCCTGAAACGTGTTTTTGGGGGGAACACGAGCACTTCATAAGGAAGAGCTTTTTTTGATATTTTTTATGAGACATTGAAGATGCAATGCATATGCTACACTTCTCCAAGAGGTGAACTTTTTTCTTCAACTGAACATTGATGCTGACTGTTATTTCACTGCAATGCTGCCTAGAGTTTTTGTATAATATTAATATCAATAATAATTAAATTGTAAAAAAAAAAGAAAAGTTGAGGTTAAAGATATATATTAAGGCGTGAACTCAGCTTTTTTTGGAATACATAGTATTGTAGAAATAAACAAATCTGTATGTTTTATTTATTATTTTAACGATTGTGAGTATAGAGCATAAGGAAAGAGAATAGCAGAGTATACCAGAAAAAATATGGGAGATGTCTACTTGAATATTTCTAAAAATAAAAAAAAATCAATAAAATCAATAAAAAAGTAAAACATATCGGTGTACATGTTATGTTTACACGTTTTAGCAATAAAGTCTACCTTTTCAACGTGTATTAGTGTCAAGCCATGTTGCTTACAGTGTCTATATCAAGGGGAAGGGGGGCGTGTACACTGTAAAAAAAAATGTCATCTGAACATGTTGTCTTATTTAATCTTAAAAATATTTCCTTGCATGAAAAGTTTGCTGGTGGTTTACACTTGTTTCCAAATGAATTATCTATAAATAAGTGTCATTTCCTTTAGAAAAACGAGTGAAACAAGTGAAAATTAGCCACATTTGATGAGAAATTTCGTTCAAGACTGACATTTTTTGCAGTGTCCGGGCTCCGAAGTGGAGTGGAGTTACTAACTGCACAGTAAGTCCGAGCTTCAGTGACTCTGTGTGGACTGCCTGACGCTCCACGCCGTCACAGTGATTTTAGAAAGAGCTGATTTACTACGCTGTGTAATGCGCAACACATACCTCAAGCGCCTCCACAGAACTGGCATTCATTTGTCTCAGCCAGAGAGAGAGAGAGAGAGAGAGAGAGAGAGAGAGAGGGGAGGCCACACATTCATCTCCCCCCTGTCTACGCACATGCTCGTTTCAGGGCTCCGAGGTGTTAACATAATGGGTAAAATATGATTCAGACATTTCAAACAGTGTCAGATGATGAAATGGCGAGCGTGTATGCAAGAGCCAGGGGCGTCTGGGGTCTGTGCTTTTCACTCTGGAAGCTCCACACAAGTTCCACTGAGGTATTTGTATAGAGGTGGACTGCAGCAGACCGGCGCCTATTCAAGTCTGACCGCCCTGGAGAGAAAAAAAAAACACAAAGCCCATAAAACAATGGTCAACTGTTTTTGACGTTAGCAGACTATTAATTGGAGAGCCGGGGCACGCTGTCTGCAACTTAAAGAGATATGGCCAATTAAACGCGCTGCAGACGCGCAGGGAAATGAACTATGAAATCAAAGCGAGGAGTCATTTTCTGTAAGTAGGGGGTTTATGGTGTTTATATTATTCTTTAAATGCAATCAACGACTTAAACAGAGCTATGACTAAACGTCTGAGAGCTAAAAGCAGCTTTCCACTGAGCGCATCTTGTGTGCGTTACAGTGATTTGTGTTTTTGCGGGCAGAGTTGGATTTGACACTTGCCGCCCGGTTATTGTGACAGAACCACTGAGGGGATTTGGTAAGCAGAGGAGAAGAACGGCAGCATGCCAACGGAGGGAAGGAGGAGGAGGAGAAGGAGCAGGAGGGGGGGCTGCTTTCCTTACTGTCAGCTTCTTTCTTGATGATGTCTCGGGGTTTTTAGAAACTGCGTCTCTGACTCGACGGCGCCACTCAGCCGCCCCCTCTCGACTGCGCAGAATGAGGCACTTTGGGAAACAGTAACCCTTTCAGGCTCTGCCCGGAGAGTATTTTAGAAGCGTGTGAAAGGCAATACGCCGCCCTGGCTCCAGCCAGTTAGGTGCGCACCTTTTAGAAGCAGACCCTGCCAGCCAGTCAGATCAGTGCTTCTCAAAGTGGGGTCCGGGGACCTCCAGGTGGTCCTTGTGGGGAGTCCAGGGGGTCCTCAGTAAAAGGATGAATCTATATAATATCAGCAAAGCATTTAAATGACTAGAAATAACAGTTTTGGGATGCATTATTTGACCCACTTCAATCCTCATTATATGCCAGATAATAAATAAATAATGATATTCCCAGTACCTGCACAAACATGTGATTACATTTGTATCCTTTAAAAATAAAATAAAATGTTGTATGATCAGGACACATGTTAAAACAGATATTCTGGGGTTATTTTTTAAATGTATCACTGTCCTTTTGGTATTATCTGATTAGAAAAGCACATTTCTTCTAACCCTGCTTGCCTCTGCTCAAAATCCATATTCTGTTTCGAACCCAATACACCCACTAAATGAATCCAAGAAATAGAAACCTTTTGAGTGCAGAGTTAGAAGCATCTAACTGGTTGTAGATTCAATACAGACCATGTGGGTTTTCTCTTACACGCAGGGTAAAATGCCAATCCTTAAATGAGCTGAACTGTCAGAGACTCCTGTCTTCACTTTATGCAAAACAGCCATGTTGACTCTGTCACAGATTCACACCATTCATAAAGTCTGCTCTCTCATTCATCACCGTATCAAATGATTTCATCATAAAATTCACTTGAAGTAAAATGTACAGTCGCAATGGCTGCAGACAGACCTTTGACGGATGTGTTACGCTGAGAAAAATGAGAAAACGTCTCCCTTTTGACGCCATCAGAGCCATGTGAGGCGCTAACACATTGGAGCAGCCTGCATTCACATACTGTTCACAAAAATGTCAAGACAGTGGTGGCCGCTGCCCTGGCAGACACTCAGCATCATTATAGTCTGACAGTCTTCACATTCATCCTCATAGGCTTTTGAAAAGGTCCCCATACAACACATATGATTGGAAGTTTCTTCTACATCTAAAATCTCATGTGAAAATAAGTTAAATCACACATTTGCAGACTGTAAGGAGAATTAGATAAAGGCCTGGAGACAATTAGGATTGGGGAGGAGCTGGGTGGGGGGGGGTAGCAAGTTTTGTGGTGAAGATGATGAGGCTCTGTCTCCTGATGAGACTCGATTATTATGAAGGATTGCAGTCCGATTGGGGATGATTGGAATGCGTCAGCGGGTGGGTGGTAAAGGGTCTGCGGTGACTTTTATTCAAGCAAACATGTGAAAGAAACATCCATACCTGTGTGGAACTACTCGAAGAATAAGTGTGTAAGTACTCGTGTATGCTGATTGCATGCACCAATCAGTCACACACACATCTTCTTGTGTGTGTGTGTGTGTGTGTGTGTGTGTGTGTGTGTGTGTGTGTGTGTGTGTGTGTGTGTGTGTGTGTGTGTGTGTGTGTGTGTGTGTGTGTGTGTGCAGTGGGCTGACAGACAGAGACAGAGACAAGGGTCTGTGGCTGTAAGTAAGGCCCAAACCCCATGGTTGTAAAAGCCAGTGAGTCAGCACTGCTGAGGTTATTGATGATGACAGGGTATTAGATGGAGCACTGAGGGGAGGGAGGGCACACATGCAAACTACACAAACACACACACACACACACACACACACACACACATGCACACACACATAAATGCGGTCCCCGCAGATGATACGCGGCATTCTGTCAGACCACCAACCCCGGCTTGTGGTGTCTGGAGGTGTGTGTGTCATGAATTTGCTCATGTGTAAGAAGCGAGAGATACATCTGTGTGTGTGTGTGTGTGTGTGTGTGTGTGTGTGTGTGTGTGTGTGTGTGTGTGTGTGTGTGTGTGTGTGTGTGTGTTTCCACGAATCCATTACAGTCTTATTCTCGGTGGTCTTCAGCTTATTGGACACTCTCTAAACCACTCTAAAACCCAAATTGTTTGATTATTCTTCCCTCAACAACTTTATGTCTGATATGCATGTGTGTGTTTTTATCTGAGTGTGAAAGATGGGAACTTTTTCCCACTTCCAGTGCTTCAGGGCTGATCCAATGATGTCAACCATCCATCTCTGCAAGAGCTCACACACCCTGACCTGGAGTCAGCAGCAGCAGCAGCGGGCACCGAATTCATGACATGCCATTACATCAACACAGCGGCCATCTTTGCAACAGGTGACTGTAGTCAAATAACTTGTGATTGTAATCAAACTCCGGTCATCGCAAACGAGCGGCGCTTCTGATAATTAAGCAGACTGGTACTGCCATGGGAAATGCGTGCAATTTATGCCACAATAATTCATGAGTACATTCATCATTCACTAGACTGTGTTGCTTCAATCTCAACGTTGCAAAGACTGCCTGGAGAGCGGCTTGTGAGGCCGAGCGGGCCTTTCCTGCTTAAAGTGCAGAGCAAAGGCCAAAGTTGACCAAGCCTTATGTTTGAAATCATCTCTTAAAGAATGTTTCTATGCGCAAAGCTATTTATTTTTATACGTTTGCTGTTTTGCTGCCTTACCGTAATCTTTTGTGTCAACTTTTTTATCGCTTACTCCAAAGCTCTTGACACCAACCATTTGAATAGTAATAATCAGATAAATGGTGTCGATTATATGCCATTTGTGTCCTTGGAGCTCCCATTAAAACGCACTGCAGTAAGAGCACGGTTGCCCTATATGCTCTTATGCTGCTACCCTTTTAATCAGTCGCATAGTGTCAGAGTCACATTTCTGTAGTCATGCTTGCTGATTACTCAGTTTAACTCTTGTTAGATGTAATGGATATTGTAAGTCCAAAGTAAGGCCTAAAAATAGAGCTGTGGGTGGCGTGGCACTCGCAGGGCTGGGAATAGTGCATATTCTGAGCCCTGTTTCCATGGTTACTTGTGCTTTCTCCCATAGCCAGCATGGGTCTCGAATTCAGAAAATAGTCCTTTTGCATCAATGGCCGTGTTTTTATCCCTTTAAGAACAGCCTAATTTAACTTTTCATCCTGTTTTTTTCCCTCACCGACCAGGAAATGTGCATTAAAGTCGGTGGACCGTGTTTGGGACATGCCGATGTCACAGACTGAGGATTGTGAAAGGGTTGAGCCCCGGGGCTAAAAATGTGTGGACACAAATACGCCATTAACCACTACTGACTTTACCATCTTTACCTCATCAAACTAAAATCAGAAACCTGGCTTGTCAGTCAAATGGGACACAAATTTGAGACTGTTTTAAGCCTATTGACCTCCCCGGCCCCAGCTAATTGAGTACAACACACACACACACACACACACACACACACACACACACACACACACACACACACACACACACACACACACACACACACACACACACACACACACACACACACAGCATCTCAGTATATAAATTAGAGTTGGACAGCACTCAACCCCAGCCCACACAAACACAAGGTGTTCCCAGAGTACTCCTGATACCTAATTGGTCCCTGGTCGTCATAACGACACACACAGGTAAACTATCTTTAAGTTGTTTACTAGACTACTCAACCTGATCGTGATTGCGTTGGCTGGATTATATACACACACTTATGAGTTTTTCCC